GTCAGAGGTTTATCTCTGCGTTGCGAAAGAGAAGGCTGATGCACGGGCTCAGCAAATCGAGTATCTTCAAGCTCAGCTGGGCTCAACCATTACTAAACGGGATGCCTTTGGCAATGAGCTCAAAGTGACGAAGTCCGAGTCGGAAATAACCAGGGCCGATGCTGAAGAAATGGTGGCCTAGTATAAGGCTGATGCCGAGGCAGCCGAGGCCCGCCTGAAGGTCACTATCGAGTACGTGAAGCGGTTGTCTTGGAGGAAGACCCTCGAAGAAATTCATGCCTGAGGTTTCGACCTGTCGGCCGAGATTGAGGAGGCAAAAAGGCTCGAAGTCGAGGCTAAGAAGCTGGCTGAACCCGAGGATAAAAAAGGCTTAGAGGGCTCCGATGAACCGAAAGATGGAGAAGACCCTGATGGCCCCGGTGACGAGGCGGGTTCGGGTGAAGATCAAGTGTAGGTGCCTTAGGAATTTTTGTCTTTTGCATTTTGTATGTTTATTTTGTTGAGGCCGTTTTCATTGGCCTTTGTAAAGATACTCTGGATGTATATATAAGGTTTTTTCCTTTTCAGCAATTTTCAAGTCTATTACTTTCAGTATTCTTTTTATATTTGCAGAGATTTCAAATGCCTTAGCATGGAATAAGACGTAGTAATAAGTTGTTCTTTGGAGGCCCGAACGAGATTTATTCTCGAGGCGAGTTTTGATTGAAACATATGGGGGCTCGAAAACTTTCCCTGAGATGTTTGTTTGAATATTTTTAGACTATAATTTTGCCTAGGGAGACCTTTGAATAGGTTTGGAGTTTTGTTTGAAGACCTTATGTTTCGATAACAGGTTTCGAACGTCTCTGAACCGTTGTTAGTTTGGCTGTAGCCTTTTAGGTTTGGGCACTTCCTAATAGTTATTGTGCCTTCGGGTTTCGATAACCCGATCCATCCAAGTTTGCGTTGGACGACAGTCCCTAAGTGGGGGTGGTTTTTTGGGTCCAGATAGAGGCGACCCTTGGGCTCGATACTCCCCTCAAAAAACTTGTTAGTTCCCCAAGTACACGCAAGTATACATGGCCGTCAAGTAAAAAAGTGACTCGAAAGTCGAATGTCGAACCCACAAAGACTTAAATCAATCGTTAACTAAGCAAACTAAAATCAATTAACTGTCCAAGATAATCGAGAGTGATGTTTTTCTACTTATCTACTATTGCGGAAATTAAACAAGTAACAACTAATTTATCAAGAATGCAAATGTATATGATGAGATTTTAATTCAGAGGAGATGAAAATTCCAGGGTTGTGGTTGATTTATCAATCATATTAAGTTCAATAATCACACTCGTTAATCTAGATTATCTATGGTTGCTAATTAACTGGATCTTTTATACAAATAGTATGTTCACACAATACTACTCGCCTGTCCACAATATATCAATCCTATATTCCTATGGTATAGAGTCTATCATGAACGAATATAATACAGTTTTTAACTAAGCAAGACTGTTAGGTATATTCCTATCCTAACCGCGAATTCTTTTCCCGAGCCACCGGTTCAGAAACAAGCTCTCTTTTCTCTAATCTAAACATGGCTTTCCCAAACATAGCATAGATAGTACGGTGAATTGGTAGCTACAACAATTCACAAGTTATAACTAGAATTAAAGAAACAATCACAAGATGATAATCCAAATTAATGAAGATATAACTAATAACTGTTAATAATCATGTCAACCACAACCCTAGAAACTAGAGTGCTTAGCCACTCATGTTCGTATTAACAATTTTTCAAGTATTGTGCATAAACAAATTACAAAAAAAAGATGAAGGAATGAAGAACTCGATGATTTTCTCCTCTGAAGAGTGTTTCCAACATCTTTTCTCCTTCCAAAATAATATCGTTAGGTCTAACGTATGTCAAGTCTGAAAAATAATATTTTTACATGTATTTATACCAAGTAGGGTCGGACCCAAACGAAACCACCTTCTCCTAACCGTAATTGGATTGTTACTCTATAAAAATTGCATAGGCGCGCCGCATGGGGCGACACGCCAGACGGGGAAGTAGTGGACTTTATCAAAGAGCGTGCAAAATCAACCAGCAGCAAAATGGGCAGCCGCGATGCGCCATACGCCACCCCACACGCTGCGATTGTGGACTTTTCTCAAAGTGAACCTTTTTTGCTTCGATTTTTGAAGTCCAGGCGTGGTTCTCGACCCCCGAACACGATCCCGGCTTAATCCCTTGGGCTTTTACTCAGACTTCAAAGCTTCAAATAGCTCAAATTCGTTCCATAACATCTACATAGCTCGGAATCACTCCTACAAGGCATAAAACACGCAATTAGTACAAAACACTAGCAATTAAAGCTCAAACTCAATTAAAGCGTAACAAATTAGAGTGCAATAAGCGACTAAAATACGAGATTATAGCCTACCATCAATACCCCACACTTAAACCATTTCTCGTCCTTGAGAAATCAAACCACACTTTATATAGACACGACCTTTTTAAACAATTCTCCTAACTCATCACACCAAGAATATTTAAAATAAACTAAGCACAAAAGTGTAACATCTTCACCTCAAGATTTGACTCACAAGTATCACGTATTATTCACAACTCACTCACTTACTCTAACATAGAGGTCAATGACATTACCTTTCCTTCATGAATCAAGTGCCTCACACAACAAAAGAGAGTAGTTCCACACACAATAAAATTTAAGAACAATTAGGAACTCAAGATAGAAAGAATTCACTCACTCTCAGAAATAACATTCATATGCCACAAAAGATGAACCATAGGCTTACCCGTAGTGTACTACTCTACTAATCGAGCTCATTCAGTCTAGGATCAAGTGAGACTTTAATTGGTTGTAATGTAGGCTGCGGGACGGGTAGCATACATTTGGATATAATAGTGACTACACCTCCCTAAGTACTTTACTACATATACTTTACTTTTCAAAACCTCACACTTATGTCAAACCATAACTCTACCTTCACATTAATATACATTAAATCCCTACTTCTTTAAGCACAATTACATCAAGAGTCACCACTTATCGAGGAATATTTGCACAACAATACAACTATTTTTTCTTTTTCTTTTTTTCAATTCAAGTGGCGCTTACTTTTTTAAAGCAGTGCACCTTTCTCCTTATTTCATTACACTCAAAATCCAAACTAACCATCCTACACTTCAACTTTTACCAAGTTCATAACAATTCAAGTGTTCATAAGAGGTGAAAAAGTTCAAATAGATCGTTAATTCAAACAAATGGGTAAGACTTGTAATGTGGTTGCCAAAGAAACATGATTACAAGCTCAAAGGATTAATTATGATACATAACAATTAGGCGAGTAAACCATATATATCTGGCTCAACAAAGAAACACATATATCACTTCCAAGACTGAACAAAACTATTATTTCTCTTTGCAAATGTACGGGGCAAGTTCTAGACATCAAATGGAATGCACAAAACAACACACAAACCTCACACACATATGGCACATAACTCACTCAGGATTGGACTCATCAAGACACTCTAGTCAAAGCAGTTAAGTAAAGTTAAGATCGTACAATTTAAGGTACTTATACAAGAGTTAAAAACTGAGCCTAAGCGTCACCACTAAAGTACTCACTATTCGCAAGGCATAACAAAGTCAAGAGATATTGCTTCAATTCCAATCACAGTACAATAACTCCTACTCCTAAAAAAATAAAACTAACTACACCCGGTTCAAACAAAACCCTTGAAAAAGAACTGCGGCACAAAGAAAAATCAAGGAGTAATTACTACACTACCTACAAAGAAATTTTTTTTGTCCTTTTTCTTTCGACTTAAATCCCTCAAGAAAACTGTCTAGGAGATCTATCGTTGGGAAAAGTCTAATTTTCTATTTTTTTTTTCCGATTTTTCGTCTAATTTTTCTAGCTTTTTTTTTTCCGATTTTTCTTAGGGGCTAATAAAATACTACGCAACCACGAAAACAAAAATAAGAAGTTAACATTTTTCTAACATACTACTGCTAATTATCTAGAGAAATTCTTCGACCCCATACTTAAAGGAGTGGAGTATCCCTAATGCACAACTAAAACAAAACAATAACGATTGTGGACAAGAAACTCCCTAAAAGGCCAAAAGCCGAAGCAATAGCGGCTCACGGGTAATCAGACTTCCCCGAGGTATGGTCTTTTGTGTGAGCACCCCACACTTAGTTCTCACCATCTAGCTCGCTTTTGCACTCTTCCAATGGCTTTGCTTCCTATGCTTATAATCCTATAAAATAAAGACATACACTACAAAAAAATAAATAATAAAAATAAAAATAAAAATAAAAGAAAGCAGTTAAGCTGGGATTCCTCCCAAAAAGCGCCTGATTTAACGTCGCGGCACGACACAGAATCTCGTCTAATCTTTGGCAAGTAACACCTTCTACTTCTGACGATAAAAGTCACCTCCATAATAGTGCTTCACTCTTTGTCCATTCACTAAGAACGTTCTCTCGACACCTAAGACGCGCAACTCAATTGCACTATGTGGAGTGACTCTCACTACCTCAAACGGGCCCGACCATCTAGAACAAGAGAACCAATTGGCCCCGTTTGATCTCGCGATGGTGGATATGCTTATCATGCCAGTGATTGGTATTTTCTTTATATAAGTTGGCATTCTCATACGTGTGCAAGCGAAACTCATCGAGCTCGTTCAATTGCATCAACCATTTTTTACCCGCTAATTCTGCATCAAAGTTCAGCTTCTTTATCGCCCAATAGGCCTTATGCTCAAGTTCCACTGGTAAATGACATGCCTTCCCATAAACCAACTTGTAAGGGGAGGTTCCAATTGGAGTTTTGTTGGCGGTCCGGTATGCCCATAGAGCATCATCAAGCTTTGCAGCCCAATCTTTCCTACTTGCACTAACCGTCTTCTCTAGAATCTGCTTTATCTCTCTATTTGACACTTCAAGTTGTCCACTAGTCTGAGGATGGTAAGCGGTTGCAACCTAATGTTTGACCCCATATTTCGCTAAGACATTGTCCAATAGCTTATTACGGAAATGGGTGCCCCCATCACTTATCAACACTCTCGGAGTGCCGAACCTTGTAAAGATATATTTTTTCACAAAGTTGACCACAACCTTGACATCATTGGTAGGAAGAGCAATGGCCTCCACCCACTTCAACATATAGTCAATGGCCACCAAAATGTACTTACACCCATTGGACGAGGGAAACAGACCCATAAAATTAATTCCCCACACATCAGAAATTTCAACCTCCATAATACCATGCAATGGCATCTCATTCCTTTTCATAATTGTTCCTGTTCCCTGGCACCTATCATACCTCCTTACGAACTCATGGGCATCTTTAAACAACCTAGGATAATAGAAACCCGACTGCAACATCTTTGCTGCCATTTTGCCAACCGCATGATGACCACCATAAGGCAATGCATGACATTCATGTAATATAACATTTATTTCAGATTCGAGCATACATCTTCTCATTAACTGACTAGTACAATATTTGAACAGAAATAGCTCATCCCACATATATGATCTCACATTCGCAAGAACATCTTTTTAGCATGAGGTTCAAGATCAGGCGACATTTCTCCACTTGCTAGATAGTTTACAAAATCTGCATACCATGGCACTTCCCCAGCAGTAACGACCAACAATTGCTCATCCGAGAAGGTTTCCTTGATGACATCTCCCTCAGCTACATGGTTCTGAATTTCTAACCTGGACAAGTGATCATCCACTCGATTCTCTATTCCTTTACGGTCTCGGATCTCCAAGTTAAATTTTTGCAAGAGTAAAATCCAACGGATTAGCCTTGGTTTAGCATCTTTCTTTTCGAACAAATACTTGATGACTGCATGGTCTGTGCAGACGGTAACTTTGGTGCCAACCAAATAGACTCGAAATTTATCGAACGCCCACAATACAACAAGCAACTCCTTTTCTGTCATAGTATAGTTTATTTGAGCATGAGTGAGAGTCTTTCTTGCATAGTAAATGGAGTGAAATATTTTGCTCCTCCTCTGGACCAATACAACCCCAATTGCACCATCACTAGCATCACACATCAGCTCAAATGGCTCGTTCGAGTCAGGAGCCACTATGATTGGTGCACTCACTAACTTTTTTTCCAGCTCCTCGATTGCTTTCAGACAAGCATCGTCAAACTTGAACGGCACATCCTTCTCTAACAATCTACACAAAGGAGAGGAATTTTGAGAAATCCTTTATAAATCGGCAATTAAAACCTGCATATCCCAGAAAACCCCTAACTCCTTTCACTAAAATCAGTGGTGGCAACTTTTCAATTGCTTCCACTTTAGCCTTGTCAACTTCTAGTCCATCTTTGGAAACCTTTTGTCCCAGCACTATACCTTCATGTACCATAAAATGGCACTTTTCTCAATTCAATACCAGATTAGTCTCCTCACACCTAGCAAGCACTTTAGCAAGATTGTTCAAACATTCATCAAAAGAAGAACCAAACACAGAAAAATCATCATAAAGACCTCCACAAATCGTTCCACCATATCGGTGAAAATATCGATCACACACCTTTGAAAAGTCGCAGGTGCATTACACAACCCGAATGGAATTATCTTAAATGCATAAGTGCCATAAGGGCATGTAAAATTGGTCTTTTCTTGATCTTCTGGGGTAATGACAATCTGATTATACCCTAAATAGCCATTAAGGAAATAATAGTATTCCTATCTGGCTAACCTGTCAAGCATTTGATCAATGAAGGGGAGAGGGAAGTGATCTTTTCGTGTAACATTATTAAACTTCCTATAATCTATGCATATTCTCCAACCAGTCACAGTCCTAGTTGGGATTAATTAATTTTGTTCATTCACTACAAGTCGTACCCCCCTTTTTAGGTACACATTGAACATGGCTTACCCACTTACTATCAGAGATAGAAAATACTATACCTGCATTGAGCCACTTAATCACTTCTTTTCTTACCACCTCTTTCATGATTGGGTTTAAGCAGCATTGACGTTCCACGCTAGGCTTGTGTCCCTCCTCCATGAGTATTTTATGCGTGCATAATGTGGGGCTAATACTCTTTATGTCAGAATTGTCCAACCAATGGCATGCTTGTGCTATCTCAGCACCCTTAAGAGTTTTCTTCCTGCAATTTAGATAAATGAGAAGAAACAATCACATGTAAAGGGTTAGAACTTCTCAAATATGCATAATGAAAATGAGATGGCAACTGTTTAAATTTCAGTTTTGGGGCCTCCTCAACTTAGGGTTTAGGGGGCGGGCCGATTGGCCTATCCAGAGGCTCAAATTGGGATGTTTCTATTATGTATTTGCGGTATACATCCAGAATTTGCTACATCTCCTCAACCTCTTCTCCAAGTTCCAAGTGATTGAACAACATCAATGCCTTTTCTAATGCATCTATTTTAAATGCACTTGGCTCTATGGCTGGTTCATTTATCTCCACCACTGAAATCATGGTCAGGTCCTCGTAATAACGAGGTAATTGAATGGCTCGATATACATTGAAGACTGCTTCTTCATTGTCCACCTGCATGATCGTCTTACCTTCTCGCACTTTGATAATTGCATCTCCAGTGGCCAAGATAGGTCATCCCAAGATGATAGGAACTAACTCATCAGCCTAATAGTCCAGGATGATAAAATTTGCAAGGAAAATAAACTTCCCAATCTGCAGCAAGACGTCCTTAATTACCCCTTCACGATAAACATAAGATCTATCAGCTAATTGTAGCATCACCATGGTGGGTCTCGGAGCTCCTAAGCCCAATTGTTTGAACACTGACAATGACATCAGATTGATACTTGCACCCAAATCACACAAGGCTCTACCCACATCAATTTCACCAATTCTCACGGGGATGGTAAAACTACCCGGATACTTAAGTTTTTGTGGAAGCTTATGTTGAATCCTGGAAGCGCTGTCACGACCCAAAATCCCACCACAGGTGTCGTGATGACACTTAGTCTCTAAGACTAAGTAAGCCGATCATAATAACAATTCAAACTATTTTTTAAATAGATAATCGAAACCAACGGCGGAAATAAAGATACAACCTCCCAGGACTGGTAATACTGAGTCACGAACTCTAACTGAATACATGAAATGATCTGAGGGAAATTAAATATACAATACTACTCGAATAATAATTGGTAAAATGATAAAAGGGAAAGACTCCAAGGGATTGCGACGACCAAGCAGCTCTACCTTGAATCCTTGCGATCACACTCTAACTCTGCCCGAGTCCGATATCTCCAATACCTGGCTCTATACAAAAATGTACAGAAGTGTAGTATGAGTACACCACAGCAGAACCCAGTAAGTATCAAGACTAACCTCGGTGGAGTAGTGACGAGGTACACTCAAGACACTCGCTACTCTAATAACCTGTGCATTATAGTATATAAAAATAATAGGAAACAATAATAATGAGGGAAACAATAATCAACCAGTAGGGCAACAAGAACACCATAAATATTGCTCAGCAAATAATGAATATAAGTATGATCAATTAATCATGTCCTTCAAATATAAATCTTTAGCCTATAAATCTTCTTAATAGAAATCTTTAAAATATAATACCTTCCGATAAATATATTTCGAATATACTTCCTTCAAATAAATATCTTTCAAATATATTTATTTCAAATAACTATCCTTCGAATACAATTTCTTCAAGTAAATACCTTTCTAATATAGTTCTTTCAAATAAATATCTTTCGAATATAATTCTTTTAAATAAATATTTTCCGAATATAATTCTTTCAAATAATATTTTTCAAATATAATTCTTTCAAATAAAAATCACTATGTGACACCTCATTTCAAAATCATAAAAATACGGGTCTCAGCTCATTTTCATATTTCCACGGTACCTCGTACCAATATTTCTATCACAACCGCACGAACAACTCACGTACCAATATAGTCATCATTTACTCACGGCACCTCGTGCCCACATTTCATATCACGACTGCACGGACAATTCACGTGCCAATATCATTTTCATTATATAACAACTACCTCGTGCCCATATTTCATGTCATAACTGTACAGACAATTCACGTACCAATAATAAATTCATCGTTTATCCCCGGCACCTTGTGCCCATATCATAATTCGCCCGACAAATATCCACAGGCTCATAATTTCAACATATATATGACTATTCTCAAATTTAGTAGATTTATAAAATAAATTGCACAATATATAAAAAGAAATCACCAGAAAATCACAACATCACATAAAAATCACCAACACAATATCCCTATATCACCACATATCATCCCTGACAATAGCTACCCTTATCTCTCCTATAGCCACCCTTATCACTCCTATAATAGCCACCCTTATCGCTCCTATATTAGCCGCTCTTATCGCTCCGCCCAGACAATATCCCAACACATAACCACAGTGAAATATCACCCTTATACTCATATAATATCAATAGTGGAATGCCACCCTTATCCGCCGCATAACAGTAATCCAATTCATACAACAGTTTACACGGATATTACCACGACAACACAAAACAACAATTCATATTATAAATTACCTATGGGCCACAACCAATTCCAAAGATACAACAAAATTAATTAATTTCACAGCAAATAGCCCAAGGCTCCACACAAAGTATACAAAACCTTGATAACAACAACAAAGATGGAAAATTAACTCAGTATAAGACGACGCCTTCTTTAATCCAAATTTTCGTTAAATATATTAATACCTCAATTTAAACTTACTTAAATAATTATTTGTAGATGAAATATCCATAATATAATTATTTCCAAGAAATATCAAATCAACAAAACACACGGAATTCACATGAAAATCCAAATAGAAATTTACACCAAGTTATCATATAAATACAAACTCGACAAACAAAGAACGAGGCATGACAAATCGAGGATTTACTAAGTTCCAATAATTTTTCACTTTAATACATAAGAGTGTCTATGAAATTTAACCGATATAATTTGCACATATAAACTAAGTACGTACTCGTCACCTCGCGCACATGATTTTCGTTCACACAATTTTCACATAAGACTCAATGCCTAAGGGGTAATTCCCCCACTCAAGGTTAGGCAAGATATTTACCTTTTTGACGTTAGGCCAATATTCCAAAATCGCCTCCTTGCTTGAATCGACCTTCGGGTAGCTCAAATCTATCCAAATTAATTGTATAACTTCATTAAAATTCATCGAAAACAATTCCGAATAATATAACGTCGACTTAAAATTTTATTCTAAAAAGTCAACCAAAAGTCAATGCGGGACCCGCCTCTTGGATCTCGGCATAATTTTCATGAAATCCGAACACCCATGCCGATATGAGTTCAACCATACCAATTTTATCAAATTCCGATAACAACTC